AATTCAAATGAAAAGTATGGTCTAAGATCAAACAGAAATAAAAACTTTAAATTGCCTCGGAAATGTAATAAACTCTCAGAATTTTGTATATCTTATCGAGGACCTAAATTATGGAATGACTGTCGAAAGGAATTTAAATTTATGGTGAAGTCTCTAAATTCATTTATGTTTCAATTAAAAAAAGAAGTTTTACAAATTTGAACTTAAGATAAAGTTTTTTAGGGCATTGATACTTTTTGGAATTTAATTGAATTACATTTTGGTGTCAAGCAGATTTGTGTTTTATACATTTTAGGCATAAAAAATACCATCAAAATTTGTTAAATTTGTAAAATCCATATATACTTTTGTTTAAAATTTGTTGGAAAAATAAATTAAAGTATTTTAACTTATACCAACCATTTTCACTCGACATACTGTCAGTTAATGAAATACGTGCAAGATTCACTTGACTTACAGAAGCTGAAAGTGAATGAATAATATTTGCAGCAGCTGACACAGCTGCACGTCGCACATGCTGATACACTTGAGATGAAACAGCTGCTCGTTCCTGTAAGAATGGATTTGTAGACAGTAGGGATGCATTTTCCTTTAAAAAATAATAAATTCTTTAAGATTATTATCCAATTTACACATTAAATCAGGATTAGTAGCAGAAAATACAAATAGCATAGAACTAGAAGAAGGCTTTTATAATAAACAAATGAATTAAGAATTAAAGTATTGAATTATCATTAATAATATCAAAACAAATGTGCCATTATTCTGTTTTGCACTATATTTTGGTGCAGATGGAAGGGTAATTTTTTTGCTCAGAGGACTGTGATCACCAGAAGAGGTTCCTGTAAAAGTAACTATAAAAAGTAACAAAATTTGAGTTACAACAAAATGTAATTTTAAATATTAGTGTAATTAAAATTGTGCTACAATACATAACTTAATCAACTTCATTCCAGATGCATACATTAGTGCTATGCGTCATAATAATGTCAACACATGTTAAATGTGAACTTTATTATTAAAACATAAATTAACTCTTGCCTTTGTTTTGTTTTAAATTATAACTATGTGCAGATATAAGTTTGATTTTTTTCCTTGGAGAATTGTGATCACCAGAAAAAGTTTCTGGAAAATTACTAATAAAAAGGTAACAAAAATTAAGTTACAACAGCATGGAATTATAAATATTAGTATAAGTAAAATCATGCTAAAGTATATGATTTATCCAACTACATACCATCTTCAAAATCAGAAGAAGTCTCTTTATTTATATCAGTATCTTCCACATATGACATTACTAATGCTCTTTTAGCTAAATCTGATGCTTTTACTTTTTTGAATAATTTAACCTTGTCTTGGCTTTTTAATGATAACATTGTTATGATTATATATTTATACGAGCTATTTATTCTTACGTTGTTTTATTTCAACTTGTACCAAGGGGTTCTACGAAAAGATTGCGATAACGTAATGTTATCCTTATCTTCTTTGAGCCCCTATCTGATTTAACTTAATTTTGTTGTAATGTATATACTTTTATATTTTATTTTATGAGATTCCATATGTATACGTGCATTGTAATAATATTATATATATTGGAAGAAAAATTAAATAATTTACAATTAGATCGTTAAAAAAAACTTACAATTAGATTGTTAAAAACGTTACTCAATGAGAAATAAGTAAAAGATAAAACTAAGACTTTTATTTAAACATTTATTAACAAATTAACAAAACATATCAATTTTCAATAACTTTTAATTGTATGTGTATATTGAACAAACACATAATCTAAAAGAACACAATCAATCTAAAAGAAGTTATTGAATTAAAACGGAAGAAATAAACCTCAGGAAATCAATATATTTATACATAATAATAAAACATAGTATATAAAGAAAAGTATATATTTACAAAATAAATATATACTTTTCTTAATAATAAATTAAAGACTAAAACTACAAATCCAATTACGTGTTGCTGATTTTTCTAGAGCATTGTTAAAAATAGTCAAAAGAAAAGACATTTATTCCTAAGACATTTCGCTATTACACAAAATAACATAAACAGTGCAATTTGATCAGAATATAAATATATCCTCACTTTTATTGCGACAAACTAACTTTTTTTATAACTATTAGCTAATGAAAAATATAGCAAATTGTAAACAGTTGAAATTTACTAAGTTAAAAACAATACTATAACAGCAGACAAAAAAAACATACGATAATTGGTAGAGCCCCAAAGTAGAACTAAAGAATTAAAATAACTACTGAAACTGCTATGCGATGCATACTACACATAGTTCTCGCCTAGCCTGATTTCATTCATTTTAGTGTATATATAATCGGAGGAATATCTAGCTTTTATTCTTTACCGTAAACAGTTTTCAAACTGTTTATAGTAAAAAATATTAATAATATTAAAAAAAAGAATAAAACTTATAATAGATAACACGCTAATATTTTATATAAAGATAAATAACAATATATTATAAAAA